TGACCGAACCCAATAGGATATAGGTCTTCCCCCTTCCAAAGACTATTGGTACCCCTTGGGGCCCAAACCCAATTCCAAACTTCCACCTTATAAACCACACCAAAGTTTCCTAACTTTCCTATGTGGGATAAGTGTTTGGTAAATCAAATTCTTCCATAATCCTTAGTTTATGTGGGTTACTTTAACACTTAATATTTCATTCAATTTTAAATGGTTTTCGATAAATAAATATATCACGTTAATCATCTCGCGGAGTAGAACGTGAATATGCTAGGTCCCGTATTATTTAAAAGGTGGGTTCACTGAAATTTGGGCTCAAAGTTGACCCATTAAACCATTTTTTTTTTCCAACATTTAACACCCCTGATTGAATTGTACTGAAGAAAAAAAAAAGATAAAATTTAGTTTATATAATGTTTACTTGTGCCCAATTCTGCATGCCAGACATACACTCTTGTGTATTATTCTCATTGAATTTGGTTTCATATAAATTTCTTGTATTGAATTTTAGACAACATTGATCGAGCCCACATCGGGAAACATGGGGATCAGCATGGCATTTATGGCAGCCATGAAAGGATACAAAATGGTACTGACAATGCCCTCGTACACGAGCTTGGAACGAAGGGTGACAATGAGGGCATTTGGAGCTGAACTAATCCTCACCGATCCTACCAAGGGAATGGGTGGTACAGTTAAGAAAGCTTATGAACTTCTCGAATCCACTCCAAATGCTTTCATGCTTCAGCAATTTTCAAATCCTGCCAATACTCAGGTACCAAAGCTCTATGCTCCCCCGAGCTTGCTATAAACAATAATTCTATTATATTATTTAGTCATATTCAATATTGCGTACCAAAATGCTCCAATTTTTGATTGGTTTTGCTTATGTTTTCTCTGGTTATAACCTCTAAGCTTAAATACAGGTGCATTTTGAGACCACTGGTCCTGAAATATGGGAGGATACTAATGGTCAAGTCGACATTTTCATTATGGGAATCGGAAGTGGAGGCACGGTCTCAGGTGTTGGACAATACCTGAAGTCCAAAAATCCCAATGTCATGGTAAAGAAATGTGATCTTAAAGAAGCATGATTTGCACAGGAAGTTATACTTAATCTTAGTACATTTATATTATTAGCCCCTTTTTTCTAGATTTATGGACTTGAACCCGAAGAAAGCAATGTACTCAATGGTGGTAAACCAGGTAACATGTTGAACATTGTATCATTCCTACACATGTCATCGTCGCTTCATTTTCAATAATTTTCCTGAAGGAATGAGAAATTCTAGGCTCTTAGGGGTTGGAACAATGTCGGAAGCTAATCTTGAAGTCTTTGTTCGATATAGGTCCTCACCATATTACTGGCAACGGGGTAGGATTCAAACCAGATATACTTGATATGGATGTAATGGAAGAAGTTCTTATGGTAATCATGCTCGTTTTTCATTTACAATATAATTCAAGAAGTTCTAGTTTTAGCTAATGGAAGATCACAAATATTGCAGGTATCTAGTGAAGATGCTGTGAACATGGCTAGACAGTTAGCACTAAAAGAAGGGCTCATGGTAATAACTTGAACACTCACTGTTACATTTCCCTTTTGGCTAACGGATATACTTCCTATTGGGTTCGACTTTGGGAAATGAAAAACGTTGATTTTGGTTATCGTTAATTACGAACGGAATACTTCCACGGTGTAGGTTGGAATATCATCAGGAGCTAATACTGTTGCAGCTCTTAGACTTGCTAAAAGGCCAGAAAACAAAGGCAAACTAATTGTGGTATGAACTAATAGCAAAATATTTAGATTTTTTGCTTTTAATTTAAGCTGGTAAAAATACTTTTCCACGCTACAAAATACCCACAATTGTTTCACTTCTTATCTACACATTTTGTAGGATTCACAACTTATAAATACTTAAATGCAGCATGCTCGTTCTTCTTGTTTTACTTGATTTCTTATCTAACTCATGTAAAAACGTCGTTTTCCAGACTGTACATCCGAGCTTTGGCGAACGTTACTTGTCGTCTGTTCTGTTTCAAGAGCTTAGGAAAGAAGCTGAGAATATGCAGCCTGTTTCAGTTGATTAAGGCATGTAGTTGTTGAGCTTTGTGAGTTGTGTGGAACAATATTTACTCGTAAAAGGAGATAATGAAGTGATTCTCATATAGAGAATTGTATCAATTTTTATGTTCTTCAATCTTAATTATAATCAGATATATGCTTGTTGGTATGATGTGTCAATAATATTAATTTTCATAGCTCCTAGACGTGTCAAAATGTTCCAGTCAAGCCTCTAGCCGTCTATAACGGGCATGGAACCCCTATGCAAAAAATTACTCATGATAATTGCATATCATTACATTTTCGAATCATGACAAACATTTTAAAGTCGAGTCATTTTTCCATTTTGAGAGGGCCCTAATGAAAAATTTGTGTAATATCCCTAACCAAGGGATTGTTGCTCAAGTAATTGATGAGTTTAGTCTTATTAGGATTGGAATAATATTAGCTTGGTGCTAATGAATCAACACTTGAGTGAATCATAGTATGCTATTCAACCTTAGTTCATTAATTTATATAATCGTCAATTTTATCATTGTCGTATTGAATTAAAATTATATTTTACTAAGAACTTTATAAAACGATTCAATGTTGTTAGATGTCATAAATATAAATCCTTCAAGATCCTATTTACCATAAAGATACGCTGAAAGGATACTCTTGTTGCCAAAGAAGCTTGTTTAGGAGAGTTTTTTAAAAATTATTTTTTTTCCTCTCAAAATAATTTTCAATGATGCATTTTGTTGGGCCCAATATTTTTTTCCTGCTTTTTAACCATACATACGTTTCTTTCAAACAATGATTAAAGTGCTAAGCATATTTTCTAAGTTGTAATTCTTTATTTACAATTAAAATAAGTGATTTACATAATTTCGTATTTCCTCAATGTAAAATTATTTATTCAAACTTTATAACACTAATAAATTAAATTCAAAATGGTTGTAACATTTCACCAAGGCCGACCTTAGCTCAGTTGGCAGAGCGGAGGACTGTAGTTTGTTTGCTGTCATCCTTAGGTCGCTGGTTCGAATCCGGCAGGTCGGAATTTTTAATTTTATTAGTTTTACTATAAAAATTTGTTTATGTTAGTTATTATTATTTTTTTTAAAAAAAAAAGGCAATTTCTATTCTAAAATGTAATATTTCCAATTAATAATAATATTTAAAACCGAATGGTTAACCATAATTAGCCAAATTATTTTAGAAAATTAGTGTATTTTCCAAATCAATTTCTTTCCCGAACCTCCAAATTCATTAAAGCTAACAAAATCACAAGAATTAATGGCATGAAAACAGCTCGAATGTCAGATAAGGGGAATATATATATATTATAGGTTCACAAACCTTTCAAAACCATGCAGTCAATTCCCATACCTTCTCATCATAGCACTTACTTTCCAAACATTTTAATTGATGTGCATCGGAAGGACATTTGGATTGTTTCCAACTAAAAATCTATTTCGGTTAACAAAAAACTCAATATCGGCCCTTTCTAAGAAGTACAAAATGGTCTCTTCACAGTTCACACGAGGGTGTATTTGAATGACTTTATTTTCATAAAAAAATTGTAATTTTTTCACCAAAATTTTTTGAAGAAAGAAAAATGCCCAAACTCTCACACCCTAACTAAAAGACTTAAACTCGTGCTAGTTCCTCTCATGGCAACCGTTCACATTTTTAGTAAACTAATTTAAGGATAAAATATAATTTTAGTCCCAACCTTTGTTGAAAGTTTGGATGTTGTACCAATAAATTTTACGTCTCATTCTAGTTCCAAACGTTCGATAAATTAACAGAGTTAGACCCTAAAAATGGTTTCCGTCAAATTAATCCATTAATTAAGTCTTATTAATATCATTAGAAAATAAATAATAATAAAAAAATTGAAAACAAAGAGAACGATCCACCCCAAAAGGTTGAGGACATGATTGCAACTTTGAGCAAAATTTGAAGAGCAAATATGCAATATTCTCTTGTAACTTATAGATTTGGACGATTTAAGAAAAAGATCAAAGTGTAATTCTATATCTTGCATCATCCTCGTAATAATCCACCTATTAAATATACGAAACCTATTCAAATTTCAATAATTTACCTAATTTCGAAGTTAAGAATGACAGTCATGTATAACGATCACGTGTCGTTCAAAGTACAAGCGTGACATCACGTATTGTTTAATTTATACCGGCTGGACTCAACAATAATTTCACCATTTTTAACCCTAGAAAATTTGAGAGAAAAAGAAGAAAAACAAATTATTCTTTTTAGGAAAATAATAGGTAAAACATAGTTATTTGAGAAGATCTGCAATTTGGAAAAGCTTGTGAACCAATTTTATTTTTTTTCTCAGAAAAAACGATTTTGCTTGAAATTAAATATTATGTTTTGTACTCAAATTAGCCGACAAATTGCAAGCAAGCGTCCCTCCAAATTCCCATATTTTTTTTGAGGTAATATTTCACTAAAATTAGACTTTTATGCTTCCTTACCAGCTTTGAATTTTCGAATGGATTGAATGATTGTCTAATTTTTTATTTTTTTTTATTTTTATGAGTTAATTTACAGGTCGGTTTAGGCTTTTGGTGAATTTTTGGGATTATTTTCATTGAATTTCTCTAATGCAATCGGGGGCTGGGGCCCATCAAGACCGCGGCCGAGGCGGGCATGCGTCCAGGAACGCCGCGTCTGCCTCCGCTTCGCCGTCCTCCTCCTCCTCAGCCGTGTCGGCTCCGCAGCTAGCATTTGATCAGCAACAGACAAGACAGGTTAGGGTTTACAAGTGTGTGACAAGTGGGTGTGTATGAGGTGCAATTTTGAGTTATTTTGAAAAATGTATGAAAAATTAAATTGAAAACCTTTCAATTCTATTTTTTTTCGGAGCAACAAATTATTTTGTTAACTAATTTTCCCCCATTCGTCGGTTGCTGAAAAGATCACGTTTCCCTTTTTTCAGAAAAATTATATGTTTTAGCCAATCGGGTTAGAATTTGAGCTTTCTTTGTTGATTTGAGAATACAGTTTTGGAATTAGAATTCTCACTGGCGTCTGGGCTGCTTTAAATTGTGTTATTCATTAATCATAGTAAAATCCTGCAAATTCAATTTAACAGATAATTTTACTTTTTTCCTTTGAGAAAATAAGATGTGGAAAGGGAATTGTTATTGTTTGCTGTTCTCAGAGTTAAAGCAAGCTATGATTATTCCATCCGTAAAGACAGCATTTGAGATATAATCGAAACTATTTGTGCGTGTCTAATTTATTATAATTGTATGTACGTGCAGTGTTAACTGGCCTTGTTTCCCTCTTGATAGTATCAAACTTGTGCTTTCTGTCTGTGATTGGGCTCGTGGTGGCAATTCTTTAAAGATAGTTTTCTCTAAATCTTCATTGTGTTACCACTTCAGTTCATTGATGCAGTTAAATATTTCATGCAGTGCTATATTCAGTTTCAGATTGCCTTGCTTTTAATATATTTTTCTAAGCTATCATTTTCTTCAATATTAATTGCCCTTTCATTTTTTCTGTGTCAATTTTGCTAATTATAGTTGAAAATGAATTAAATACATTACTAAAGAAACATGTCTGATGATAGTACAAAATGAACAAGTGCTTGGTTAGAAGTGAACTGGAGATATTACGCCCTTTATACATACGGGTTTGAAACAAAACTCGTGCACTGGATTCTTCTGTATGACATCATGCTTGTGCTTTGTGGTGATTGTCTTGACTTTGAACTACTTAACTGCACGTGCTTTGTATTTTTGCACGTTTACAATCTTTGCAAGTTTCGTTCAGTGGATTTGTTAATTTTTATGATAGTACAAAATGAACAAGTGCTTGGTTAGAAGTGAACTGGAGATATTACGCCCTTTATACATACGGGTTTGAAACAAAACTCGTGCACTGGATTCTTCTGTATGACATCATGCTTGTGCTTTGTGGTGATTGTCTTGACTTTGAACTACTTAACTGCACGTGCTTTGTATTTTTGCACGTTTACAATCTTTGCAAGTTTCGTTCAGTGGATTTGTTAATTTTTGAATCTAAATGAAACTAACTGCATATGACTGATTCCCACCTCCTCTCTTATGTCATTTGCAGTCGTTGCAACAACAATATATGAGGAGACCTGAAGGAAATGAAGCCCTTTTAGGCTACCAAGCTGGCAAGGTTCATGGGATTCCAAGGGGGTTTAATTTCGCTGCAGGGACTGGGTCCATGCAATTCCCTCAACAGTCTAGGAACATAAGTGCCATGGGCCAACAATGTGGTCCTCCTAACATTCCAGGGCAGGGTCATATTAGGAATCAAGATAATGAGCAACAAATGTTAAATCCTATCCCACAAGCTTACCTCCAACACGCTTTCCAAGCAGCTCAACAGAAGTCAGGTGTTGGAATGCAATCGCAACACCAAATGATACCGGGAATGTTTGGTCAACTTGGCACAGATCAAGATGTCCGTACAACTAATATGAAAATGCAAGAGCTCTTGCATATCCAAGCGGCTAATCAGTCTCAGGCATCCTCCTCCAAGAAATCATCTGAACAGCTTGCTAATCAGCCAGGGTTTCTTGGTCAAACAATGCCAGCAATACCTATGCAGGGGAGCCAGGCCCAGCAAAATATGATGAACATGACTAACATCCCGGCTGCTATGGCTGCACAATTGCAAGCGATTCAGGCTTTAGCACTTGAACGTAATATTGACCTGTCAAATCCTGTAAATGCAAATATGATGGCACAGCTTATTCCCCTCTTGCAGTCTGGGATGGTTGCTCAGCAAAAACCAAATGAAAGCAATCCAGGTTTACATCCTGAATCAGTACCAAAACAGCAGGTCAACTCACCACAAGTTGCTAATGAAAGTTCTCCCCGTGGTAACTCCCCAAGTGATATATCGGGACAATCTGGCTCTTATAAAGCTCGGCAGTTGGTTTCTGCTGCTCCTCTCAGTGTAGCTACAAATTCAAATATCCTGAAAAACTCCAGTAACATTTCTGTGCATAATAGAGATAAACAACTGCCCCCAAGACAGGCCACTGGGGTTGGCAATGGAATGCTTTCTACAAATCCAGCAGAGTCATCTGTGAACTTGAAACAGGGAGTAGACAATTCATTCCTTGCAAAAAATTCTCCATTCAACATTGAAGCTTCACAGTTGCAGTATACCAAGCAACTTAACAGATCCCCTTCACAATCGGCAGCTTCATGTAATGATGGGGGTGTGGGAAATCCATCTACGTCTCAGGGTGGGCCACTTCCTCAGACGGATCAACTGCAAACCGGGTTTACAAAGCAACAATTGCATGTTCTTAAAGCACAAATACTTGCATTTAGGCGCCTGAAGGTTTGCAATTTTTGCTAATATGCGTTCTCCTCATTGCCTTGTTCTAATTGAACATCATGCTTTGCTTTTGTCTTGTGTTTGGTTGATTTTTCAACTAGCATTTCTAATATTCTGTTGCATATCTTCTTTACCCTGCTTGTAGAAAGGAGATGGAACTCTGCCACGTGAATTGCTCCAAGCTGTTATCCCTCCACCGCTTGAGGTGCAGATACAGCAGGTATTTCCTTCTGCTAGAAATTTAAATAAGGATAAATCAGCTGGAGAAAATGTGGATGGGCATGTAAGACATATGGGGTCAAATGAGAAGGTGCATCAGGCTGTAACGACAGCTGGTGGTGTAAATATTTCGAAGGAGGAAATTTCAGGGGATGATAGAGGAGCTTCCATAATAGTTAATATGAAAGGTATTACAACTGCAATGAAGGAACCGGGAGAAGTGATTCCTCCTGGAAAAGAAGAGGAGCAAACTGTAGGATGTTGCGGGAAATCTGACCTGGATGCTGAACAGAGTATAGAGAAAACTCCGATCAGGAGTGGTTTTGCTGCAGACATGGGTACAGCTGTTACCACGCAGTCTGCCATTCCAGATATGCTGCAGGTTAAGAAACCTGGTCAGTCGGGCAACACCATTCATCCTAAGAATGCTGGCTCAACGAGAAAATATCACGGCCCATTGTTTGATTTCCCTGTTTTCACCAGGAAACATGAATCTTTTGGATCATCATTGATAAACAGCAATTATAATTTAACTTTGGCATATGATATTAAGGATCTTGTTATTGAGGAAAGTGGAGAAACTCGTAAAAGGAAAAGGGCAGAAAAAATAGAGAAGATTGATAAAATATTAGCTGTGAACTTGGAGCGAAAGAGGATCAAACCTGATCTCGTAATACGGCTACAAATTGAGTCGAAAAAACTTCAACTTGCAGAGCGTCAGGCTCGCTTGAAGGAAGAGATTGAGCAACAACAACAAGAAATAATGGCAATGCCTGATAGACCATATCGCAAATTTGTTAGGCTATGTGAGCGCCAACGTCAGGAGCTCAACAGACAATCACAGATCAAGCAGAAAGCAACCAGAGAAAAGCAATTGAAATCCATATTTCAGTGGCGTAAGAAGCTTCTTGAAGCTCACTGGGGCATCCGTGATGCTCGAACTTCCCGCAATAGGGGAGTTCATAAGTATCATGAAAGGATGTTAAAGGAGTTCTCAAAGAGCAAAGATGATGATCGTAATAAAAGGATGGAAGCACTGAAGAATAATGATGTAGAAAGATATAGAGAGATGCTGCTAGAACAACAAACTAACATGCCTGGTGATGCTGCAGAAAGATACAATGTTCTCTCATCATTTTTGTTGTGCTATCGATTTGAAGTGCTGAATGGATATAGGAGTTTTGTGATGCACGATTATGTTATTTGCATAACATTCTCTTTTCCTTCTTGTTTTTCACCAGATATTATGTCCTTGCGCATGCCGTGAATGAAAGGGTTACAAGGCAGCCCTCAATGTTGCGAGCTGGAACATTACGAGACTATCAGCTTGTAAATTGCATTTTTTTTTTTTTATACATTCTATAGTTTATGTCATCTGCTCAGTTTTTCATTCGCCTTTTCATTTCTTGCTTGTTTCTCACTGATGTATTGTTTTACTTGAATCCACAGGTCGGCTTGCAGTGGATGCTTTCGTTGTATAACAACAAACTCAATGGAATTTTGGCTGATGAGATGGGGCTTGGGAAGACTGTGCAGGTTACTTGTTTTTTATTAATGGTGGTTTAAATATTTGATTGCTAAAGCTATGTGAACATGGAGGAATCATTTTTCTTTCTCATGGATTTTTTAAAATTATTTTCTGCTTTTATATTCTCACTCTTGTAACAATTTGGTTTTAGTTTCTTTACCAGTGTTTGTCGACATTTTTCTAAGGTTCATTCTCTTCTTACTTGGGCAGGTTATGGCATTAATTGCTTATTTGATGGAGTTCAAAGGAAACTATGGCCCACATCTTATCATTGTTCCCAATGCTGTTCTTGTGAACTGGAAGGTTTGGTTAATTTTTAAATCCTAAATTCTTATTAGTGGCATTTTCTTCGATTTTACATGTTTAGTTTACTCCATATTCCAGAGTGAGTTTCACAATTGGCTGCCAACTGTCTCCTGCATATTCTATGTTGGTGGGAAAGAACAGAGGTCAAAATTGTTTTCTCAAGTAAGATGAACTCCTGGTCATTAGAAATTATAGCTTGATAATATTTCGCCTACAAAAGTTAAATAATTTTCACTTGATCTCTGTTGTTTAGGAAGTGTTAGCCATGAAGTTTAATGTCCTCGTGACAACCTATGAGTTCATTATGTACGATCGTTCAAAGCTTTCAAAAGTTGATTGGAAGTATATCATAATTGATGAAGCACAACGGATGAAGGACAGAGAATCAGTCCTATCTCGTGATCTTGATAGATATCGGTGCCAAAGGCGCTTGCTTCTTACAGGAACACCATTACAGGTTTGCTGAGAGTCTGAGACTGCCTCATGTATAATACTCTCATTTCTTCTGTACCAGACATGAAGTTTTCCATGCGTGTATTACCATAAATCGATTTTACTATTATTGGTTTAATTTGTTACATTTGACCTTTAAAAGTTGAAAGGTTTCTGAGAATATGTTTACATTTTACTAACTAATGGATAGAATCATTGTGCAAAATATTTGCATCAATTCTCAACTTCGAAAGCTTGGGGATTAGGTTTTGCCAGAGTTATTACTTCCACTTGTAGTCGTCAGGCTGCTTACATGCATAGATTTGAAATTAAGGTTAATTGTAGGTGGGATCAACCATGGATTTTTCATCTCCTCAAATGAGAACTATATTGGTTAATAATACACATGAAAAGAAGGAAAACAAAGAATTGTCTTGGAAAAGAGAACCAACAGATTATTGTTTGAGAGTGGTTGGGTTGATATGTTCTGTTAGCTTGTTTGTGTTAATGCACCTGTTCCTGTTTATTTTCTTGTTTGTTCCGAAGACCTCAATGGATCACATCCATTATATTTCTGCATACAGAATGATCTTAAAGAACTCTGGTCACTTTTAAACCTACTGCTCCCAGAGGTCTTTGATAATCGAAAAGCATTTCATGACTGGTTCTCGCAACCATTTCAAAAAGAAGGCCCCTCACACAATGCTGAGGATGACTGGCTTGAAACTGAGAAGAAGGTGATCATTATCCACAGGCTTCATCAAATTCTGGAGCCTTTCATGCTCAGGCGTCGCGTTGAAGATGTTGAAGGATCACTTCCTCCCAAGGTATGCCTTTAAATATTATTAGATATTCTATGATGTGGATTGTTTCTGACAGCAATTTGAACCTGCAGGTTTCAATTGTGTTGAAATGTAGAATGTCTGCTATACAGAGTGCCATTTACGACTGGATCAAATCCACTGGTACTCTTCGGGTTGACCCAGAAGATGAAAAGTGCAAAGTTCAAAAGAATCCTGTTTACCAGGCTAAGACATACAAACCTTTAAATAATAGATGTATGGAGCTCAGAAAACTTTGCAATCACCCATTGCTAAATTATCCATATTTTAGTGACTTATCGAAGGCTTTTCTTGTGAGATCATGTGGAAAGTTGTGGGTCTTGGATAGAATTTTAATAAAACTTCATAGAACAGGACATCGAGTACTTCTCTTCAGTACCATGACAAAACTTCTTGATATAATGGAGGAATATTTACAATGGCGAAGACTTGTGTACAGACGGATTGATGGGACAACTAGCTTAGAAGATCGTGAATCTGCTATTATGGACTTTAACAGCCCTGATACTGATTGCTTTATCTTCTTGCTCAGTATACGTGCTGCTGGACGGGGTTTAAATCTTCAGTCTGCTGACACAGTCATCATATATGATCCTGATCCAAACCCAAAAAATGAGGAACAGGCTGTTGCTCGTGCGCACCGTATTGGGCAGACGAGGGAAGTTAAAGTCATTTATATGGAGGCTGTGGTTGACAAAATCTCAAGCCATCAGAAAGAAGACGAATACAGGAGCGAAGGTTTAGTGGATTCAGATGATGACCTTGCTGGCAAGGACCGGTACATGGGTTCAATTGAGAGCCTCATACGGAATAATATCCAGCAGTATAAAATTGACATGGCTGATGAAGTTATAAATGCTGGACGATTTGACCAGAGAACAACACATGAAGAAAGACGCATGACCTTAGAAACACTATTGCATGATGAAGAGAGATGCCAAGAAACAGTTCATGACGTTCCCTCACTATATGAGGTAAATCGCATGATTGCTCGGAGTGAAGAAGAAGTGGAGCTCTTTGATCAGATGGATGAAGAACTAGAATGGATAGATGAAATGACTCGATATGATCAGGTTCCAAAGTGGCTTCGTGCTGATACCAAAGAGGTGAATACCACCATTGCTAATTTATCAAAAAAACCATCAAAGAAAATCTTATTTGGAGGAAATATTGGCTTAAATTCCAGCGAAATGGCCTCTGAGACAGAGAGAAAACGGGGGAGACCTAAGGGGAAAGTTCCTATTTACACTGAATATGATGAAAATGAAGAGTTATTTGAATCTAGTTCTGATGAGAGGAATCAGTATTCTATACTAGAGGAAGAAGAAGAAATTGGGGAGTTTGAAAATGATGAAAATAAAGATAAGTTAGAAGATGATGATCCTGTTTCGGCTGATGAATACAGATACCAAAGTGGTATGAAACACACTAGCAACAATCTTGCATTTGAACAAGCAGGTTCATCTGGGTCTTCTTCCCATGGTCAAAGACTAATGCCAATGGCCTCACCTTCTGCATCTTCTCAGAAGTTTGGATCACTTTCTGCTTTAGATGGCAGGTCCAGTTCTCGTTCAAAGAAGGTGGTATGTCTTGTAACACCCTATTCTGATTCTTCAAGCTTAATTCTCAAGGTGGTCGAGTTACCTGAAATATTTTATTTTCTTATTTTCCAGGTAGATGAGTTAGAGGAAGGGGAAATTGTTGGATCTGGAGACTCTCAGATGGATCACCAGCAATCTGGTAGTTGGACCCAAGATCGGGATGAAGGTGAAGATGAACAGGTGTTGCAGCCCAAAATTAAACGTAAACGTAGTTTTCGAGGTCGTCCGAGGCAAGCTGCAGAGACATCGGAAGAGATGTATGGTGAGAAGTCATCTCTGCGGAGAGGGGATTCTTCTCGGTTGCCTTTCTCAGTAGAACGTGACTTGCAAGGAAGGGATGGCCATGGGCATAAAGTTCTTGGAGAGCCTAATTTGTTGAAGCATGGCAAAATTGATTCATCCTTCAATAATAAACAAAATTTATCCACAAGAAAATTTTCAAATACAGCTAAAGGGCATGCTTCACTAAAATCTGCCAAAGCAAGTCATGTTTCTATTCCTCCAGATGCTGCTTCTGAGCAGCCAAGCAGGAACTGGGACGGTAAAGTCATAAGAGGGGCTACAACTGGTAGCAGTAAGATGTCTGAGGTCATGCAAAGAAAGGTAACAAGAACTGGGATAGTAAAGTCATGAAAGGGGTTACAACTGGTAGCGGTAAGATGTCTGACGTCATACAGAGAAAGGTATGTAGCTCTAAACTTCTTTGGATTCTATTACTCAGTTTGCACTCTACTAAGAAATGAGAACTTGTGTTTCTGCTCGTTGCGTAATTTAATTTTTCTTGTTCCATCTTGACTGTGGATTGAGACGATCTGTTTGTCACACTATCATTTCCATCTATATGATCTTTCAAAATCATTGACATTAATTATATGGGTTTGATTGCAATATTGTTTTGATATGTTGTTCTGTGCACTGTTGTGGACCATTTCTATAAGTTGTGGTGTTGAGAATATGCTGATTCTGAATGAGTGGCTTATGATCAAATTGGTGTCTTTTCTCATCCATTAGCAACTAGAGTCCTAAACATGCTATTTATAAGTTTGCAGTTTATTGATGTCTTAGACTAGGAAATGATCAGTGGATCATGTATATTCTGAGCTTGCGAGAGTGGACTATTTGACTAATGAAACCCCCCTATATGTAAGAACATTGAACATTGATATATGATCAAAATGAAAGTTCTAGTTTGATGTTGGTATGGGTTCTAAAGAACGACTTTAGGATATGAATGTCCTCCTAACTTTGGCTTTTGTATTACATGATGCATGACAAATAAAACATTGTATCTTATTTCTTCCATTAAAAGCAGGTGAAAAGCATGATAAGGTGGGGCCTGACTAGTTGAATTTTGAAATGATAAAGAAATTATTTTTCCTATGATAGTTTCTTTATCGTTGAATATTGATCAAATTCCAAGTATATGGTAACTTTTCTCTCCTCTTTTTTCACCTCTTCTCAAATCTTTCGTTTCTCTCTTCTACTTTCTCCGCCGCTCTCAGCATCAGGTAGTATATTTTATTTTGAGTTTGAGACTTCCTAAAAAATGGAAGGACATTCATTTTGAGATGGAAGGAATAAGATTTATCTTGTAGCCCTATACAGGTAACACGAGTTACTTTTTAAGTCGAATTTTTCAGGGTAGTTTATTTTAGGATGACACCTACTAACTATAACAATTTTAATGTCCTAGGTTTATTAAGAAATTAAACTTATTTTCTTAGAACCAACTATTTAGTCGTGTTTTGTTCCTTTAATTATAGAAAGCCCCAAAACTCTGAGGTCATCCAGTGTGGTGACTAAAATGTTCTTACCAATATTATGTGCGCAAAACTCCAAACTTAATACAGTCTTGGCCTAAAAACCTCAGGAGAAAGAAATTAAGGTTGAAAATGTGATGGATAAAAGAATTTGATTCCATATCTTGGCCCAGTAAAGGAATGGGCTCTGAATGGACACAGTCATCCTTATGGCTTGTTGTATTGGTTGTCCTTTTCTCTTTTGTTTTCGATTTCCTTTAGGTTTTGACAAGGGATCAAACATTTATGATATTGCATTTGAGGTTTTTCTATATGTCCTTCATACCTTGTACAGTTGCTATTTAATTTAATGGCATGTCTTGGCAAGTTTAGACACAAATTCATCAATCTGCATTTAATCATTTCACTTTCTATTCATGTCTTGAATCTTTACCTTCCAATTCTTTCCTTCTTAATGGTTGCTATTTATATAAATGTTGATGTATTACAGTGCAAGAATGTTATTAGCAAGCTCCAAAGGAGAATAGACAAGGAAGGGCATCAAATAATTCCCCTGCTAACTGAACTATGGAAAAAAATTGAAAACTCTGTTGTCGTGAGTAGGCCAGGGGATAACGTTTTGGATCTACGAAAGATCGATGTATGCATTGATAAATCTCAGTACAGCGGAGTGATGGAGCTTGTGTCAGATGTGCAGCTTATGTTGAAGCTTGGGATGCAGCACTATGCTTTCTCATTTGAGGTATGGATATTTCTTTATCTCAAAAGAAAAAAGAAGGATTAATCAGTACAGAGTATAATTACAAGAAGACAAAAATTTGAAGAACTAGTGGGCCATTATTCTGTCTCAATTCTCTGAAATTTATTCACCCATGTAGAATTCTAAGATCAATAGCACGATCTTTTGAAGTGAAAGAAATGTTTTGGGAATCATAATTTTCCTCTCGGACTTGGATAGAATCTGTGAAGCTCTCTGAATTTCTATGTGAATTATATTGGAAATTAAACAGAGAAATTTTCAGTGGTACCCGTTCTATCCTATTGGCATATTTGGTAGGTTGGATTGGATAGCACTAGACTATATATATATATATTTATTATTATTATTATTTTTTTATGGTAAGAAGCTAAAATTTTTATCTTATATTCTTCAGCTGTATCTATTACTAAGTACTAAACATAGCCTGTATTTATTCAAAGATTCCAAGATTTGTGCTAAATGAACTTTATGAATACATTGTAATAGGTGAGAACCGAAGCAAGAAAAGTGCACGATCTTTTCTTTGATATCTTGAAGATAGCATTTCCAGACACTGATTTTCGGGAGGCCAGGAATTCTATATCTTTCTCCTGCCAAGTAGCTATGCCAGTCTCTGGTTCATCATCCAGGCAGGTGCTTGCTGGTCAAAGCAAGCGACAAAAATTAGTAAAGGATGTCGACTCTGATCCAGGTCCTCGCCAGAAGCCAAATGCTCGAATTCCTGTTCATACTGTTGAAGGCACTAAGGTCAAAAACTATATGCCTCAAAAGGAGTCGAGGCTTGGAAGTAGCAGTAACCTGGAGACTGGACAGAAGGAAGAACCCCGCCCACTGACTCATCCAGGTGACCTTGTTATATGCAAGAAGAAGAGGAAAGAAAGAGAGAAATCGGCCATGAAGTCTGGGAATGAGTTGACTGGTCCAGTTTCACCCAATGGAATTAGCCGTAATGTGAAAAGTCCTGGCTCGAGTTCAGGCACGAGAGATGTGCTATGGAGCCAACAAAGTACCCAACCACAGGGACGGGTTTCCATTTCTCCCCAACCAGAGAATAGTGGTGGCGGCGGCGGCAGCTCTGTTGCTTGGGCAAATCCTGTAAAGAGGACGAGAACTGGTGTTGGGAGGAGGCCCCCAAGCCATTTATGATTTACATGTTAATTCCTTCAAATTGAAGAAGAAAACAATTCTCTGGTGTTTAGGTGCCTTGTATAATGGTGCTGGATTGCGATTCTTGTAGATTTTGCACTGTTTTCTGGTGTGTTATTTGGATTAACTTGGTTGAACAATTTACCTGTTCTTTTTTGTATGATATGAGAATCTTGTATCTGAATTGCCTACCAATTAACTCTTCTCTAATCCCTTTATTGATCTTCAATTAACATGGTTGAACAATTTCGGTGGTGCACGTTGGCAGTGCACTGATGGAAGTCTATTAGGTTTCGGTGGAGGAAGAATGGGTGGGCGTGAAATCGATGAGAAGAGGACTAACTTGACGTGTCTATTCTTTTGGATTGTGGAAAATGACATTTAAATAAATAAATTTGTTCTCTCTATAACAGTTTAAGCTATTTGCTGGGGTGTGCTCAACATAGTATTAAGGTAAACAAATGTTTTATGTCAAGTCTCGTCATGCACGTATCAAGAAGACATGTCAAAGATGACATTTAATGACTGAATTTGTCTTCTCTTAGCCAATTTAAGCTTTTAGACGATAATTCTACGTAATCTGTATAGCATACTGGACATTATTTGCACCAGAATTAAGTTCATGAAAGTTGGTTAACTAAGAGCATGTTCTTATGGTTTTTGGACCACTTTTTTCTTAAATGGGAAATAAAGGGTACACATCAAGTTATCGTTGCATCTATTTACATAAACAACGGGCATGAATTTTCTTTTCACCCTTTCCAATGAATAATTATATCTGCAGTTAAGTAAATTTCAAGCAGAAACCAGGTGAACAAGGTAAGAATACTGATTCTTAAAGAGACTGAATATGGCTATGGATCCACTGGCCCTGCAACTGCCTCGTCACTAGAATCATTCTCATCTTCGCTTAGCTCCTCATCGCTCGATATCTCCCCTGAGGTTGTCCCTACATCTTCCGGCTTGGCATATCTCTGACAGTATTCTGCAAGATAAAATTATAGGTCAGTTTTACCATGCCCATAATGTATGGAGCAGACGAGAAAGTGTAATCAAAGTTAAGAATCCTAGGAAATCATGGCAAAAGTCTTATTGCAGACTCGGAGGGTGAAGATAAAAGAATCGACAGAGACACTCTTCTTTACCTTGAGAGCGCCATTTGCAACTACATTTTCAGCGTCATCACCATTAAACTTGGAGGCAGATATGAAGGATTAATGAATTAATCTTCAAGATTAAGTGATAAAAGGTACTAATGCTACCAAAAAATAAAAAGCCAGCAAACTAAGCCCTTTTCCAATAAATTTTGGGTTCGCCTAAATGAGTCATTTTAGGCGTCGTTGTAAGTGAAAATAATAAATAGACAAGAAAAAAAGCACAAAACTGGCTTAAGCAATCGGGTCAAATTGGTTTTAGGACTTCATATTGTGCAGTTCATGTTCTACACTTATGTTTAGCTCATGTTTATGAAATGTGGATAATCATTCAAGCCACTTTTTATCGGCATGTTTCGAGTGATCCACAAGTTCTATCCACTTATCCACCACTCATTTTTATCTATTTATCATTTAAACCGTTTAGAAACTAGAAACACTTCCCAAACATGCTTAAATCTTGGAAAAGAATGCCTAAAATTTGGTAGATACCTACACTATTGTTCTGCTTTCATTACTCGCTGAACATGCGTTTTTTTATCTTTCCTTATTATTAACTTCCCATTACAACTGGCAAAAGATTTCTCGTGCTGAAGAAAAACGTCCTGAAATGAATGAGGTAACCCGCACCCAAAAAAAGGAAAAAGAACTGTTTGCGTAAATTTTCATATTATAACAGTAATGTTGTGTTTTCTTTCCTCAGATTAGGAAAGCCAAACACGTGTGCAGTGGAGTTGTAAATAAATGCAAAGGAGAAAGTGAATCGACATAGTGAATAAGAATAATGTTGAATTAATTTCAAAGATTCAAGCCTCAAAATAGATCATGAAACAGTAATGCAGAAAGAAAAAAGACTTGCATATATCAACAATATAGAGATTCAACTTTGCCAGATTATACGATAATTTATAAATTACCGAAACATTCTAATACCTTTAACTCTTTGCTCATAAGCAGTTTGATCACGGTTCATAAGAGCCGCAGCCTCCCTATTTAGTGGGTCCGCTGGATTTGGATACAAGAGAAGTTGCGGTATAAATACTTCAAATACATTCACCAGGTCTGCAAATAGCGATTCAACAGAAGAGTAAACAAGCAATCAATAATTGGCAAAAGTACCTTCGTAATATACAGATATTCCTTACCGAACATGGGGCTCCATGTCTGGTTAATAACATCCAAACAAATTGAACCCGACCTACATTGATTATTCAAAAATATCAGAATTCATCATACATCATAAAGGAAGACAATGACTTATCCTGTATATGAAAATATAGGATCTTTAAGAGTATATTGCTCACGTCTCATCAACATTCGGGTGATACATCTTATTAAGAAATCCTATGGATGGAGCTTTGTACGGGTAAGCATCTGGAAGCTCAACTCTTACTTTCCATACACCGCCATGATACGGACCTAATTTTCATTCAAAACATTGAACATAGTAAAAGAAATTAAATTGCAAAAGACCAAAACAAACAAGCGTGCTAGCGCACACAAACTCTCTGAAGTTTCCAGGATGGCTGTTCTTCCTGATTACATACGTAATTGCAGAGTAGACATCTCAATCCTTAATAATTCCGTACATTCATCAAGGTCAAGCAGCAGAAAAGTATAAAATAAAAATCTGCAGAGATTAGTCGAGGTGCGCGCAAGCTCTTCTGGACTCCCAGAGTCATTAAAAAAAATAATAAATAAATGCAGGTGTTATACAAAAATGGCAACAGTGTGACTAAATGAAGAAAGAAAAGCTAAAAATAAGAAAAAACTGAAGGCAAACAATGACCAAAAAAGACCCTTTTTTCATGATTTTCATTTCAAGAAATAATTCTGACGGATCAATTCATAAATCGCAAGCCCACTCAACAAATTCACATCAACAATATCAAAAAAAAAAAAAAAAAAAAAAAAAAAAAACCCAAAAATCAAATAACCAAAAAGCAAAATTTCCTATTAAAATCATTAAAAAAAGAAAGAAAATTTGAGACATGGGTTTTGATGATTTACTGTCACTGGGTCCACGGAAATGCACATAAAAACTTTGCATTCCATCATTGATCATCTCAACCTTGTAATCACTCATCATCCTAGTTCAAGAAAACAAAATCCCATAAAAAAAATTTAGCAAAGCAAAAGGTACATCCAAGCAATTCATATTTGAAAAATAATAATAATAATAATAATTACAAAGCATAAGATTATAATTAGAAAACTTTACAGTTTCATTAAGTCCATCTCACGGCGCTTGCTTGGGGAAGACATGGTGGATTTGTTCTGCAAATTCTTGGGCTTATATTTTCTTTATTTTTTCACCGAAGAGAGGAAAATGATGTTCGGTGTGGGCGGTTGGGGTTTCTTGCACAACTGTATGAAGCAAGGGAAGGGAGTTCTGACATTAGTAAGGAAAAAATGGAGGTATATATGAAGAAAAACATTTATGATAATTAGCTAGCATGTTTGGCTAAGCTTAAAAAACTTATAAGCAACTTTTTTGAGATTTACAAGCATCTTCTAAGCTTAGCTTGAGCTTGAAAAATGGTGAAATTTTTATATCCAATTGTACTTCAAATTGCTGACATATGCTGCAGCAAGATAAATCACGGCCTCCCCATCTTCGACCAATATTAAGGTTGAATCCCAATCTTGAAAGTTCCCATCGTCCCATATCTAAAGATTTGTAAGGGAGATAAATTGCAGGATGTGTTCCAACAGGCCAAGGAACAAGAGCTGCATGTACACTACGCCTACAAGGAGTCAAATTTCATATATCAGGAATCGAACCCTTACACTGCGGCTGCCAGCAAAGCGTGTAAAAATCTCACCTCTATCCTTTGAATCACTGGACTATACCTTGGGGGGGTTTTTTGAAAAGTCAAAAAATACAATTGATTGTGCCACATCAACGGTAGACCGACTAATATTACAAAAAAAAAAAAAAAAGGAAAAAAAAAGTTGAATCTTTTAGAGTTTTGTGAGGGGGGTAAATCGCGAGATGTGCCCTAACAGACCCAAGGAACAAGAGCTGTTTGTACACTGCACCTACAAAGAGTCAAATTTCACGTCTCAGGTATCGAACCCCCCACATTGCGGCTATCAGTAAGGCGTGAGATAATCTAATTCCTGTCCTTTACATCACTGGGCTACGCCCCGAGAACAGGGGACGAGAGTTTTAAATTTCATATAAGGAAGCTTTGGTAATTTCTATAAGGATATATTTTACTTGTTACACCATATTTTTATTTACTTAAATGACTCTTAAGTAAAATTACTTGATCAACCACACAAAAGGTTTAAATATGTTCCCTAGCTTGTGATTTTTCTTACCTCCATCAACCAATCATGTTTAGTGCACATAAGACGAAAAAATTTTCCAAGGAGGTCACAATTTAGATAGGATCCTATAATTGACTTTTACAGCACGCTAATTAATTATATTCTTCTTTAGATATAATAATTAAATCCATTTTACATTACAAATTTTAAAAAAACAAAAAATAAAAATTTGTTTTTAAGAGTTCAAATTAGACATAACATTTAGAACTCTTTAAAATGTTTAAAATAAATATCGTATCTTCTGATAAATTGAATAAACTAAGACGTAAAAATAAATATATATTATAAATGAAAATGAGCTTTTATTGTCTTTTTTTCTAATAACTTAAACTTGAAGCAATTCTTCTTTTTAAATTGTCTCCCACTTTACTTAAAATTAATCATCTAATGTTGAAAAGTTTCCTATATATATATATATATAGACTAAAAATGATCGAATTATATATTGTAGGATTATATGTTTTGAAAAAAAAAAAATTGTTGGAATATTCTTTATATAGTGAAAAATATTGAACAAAAAAAAAAAAAAAATGAAGCATAATCGCCACATTTCAAAGTAGGGACCTAATCTTTCCTGGCTGGAATAATTAGATTGTAGATTCATTGAACTAATCAAACTCCGAAGTTCATACTAATTAAGCAATTCAAAGGTGGCAGCCCACCAAATCTAAATGATTGAAGAATTTACTATCTACATATCTTAAAGATCTTTCAAATACGATATCAACCTCGAATTTGTCGTAACATAATGAAATTACTTGGAAAGCTAAGTACGTGTTGTAATAAATTATGTCTGCACTGTAAGAACTCTAAGACGATTAAAAAGTGTGCTCTTTGTTTTGACTTGAACTAATTGTCGATAAGACAATGCATTATTGATCTTGTGTAACCTATTCATTCTTTTAATTTGTAATATAATATAAGTTAGTCCGTATTAAAACTTAAAAATTGAGCTAATTCATTTACATTCCTTAATCTCAATAGAGCAAAAGAATATTTGCTCGTGTTCCATAAGGTTGGAGCAATCGTTACAATTTTTGTATTACACAAGAGCTCCTCCAAGTGTTCCGATCAGTGAAGCGAATTTTCAATGAGATACTCGTACAATATTCATAAATCTACGTATGCCTTATTTAATTACTTATTAATATTTTTAAAATAAAATTTAATTTGTAAAACATGAAAATAAAATAAAATAGAAAGACTCGGTACAAGTTCGGGGACTATATTAGTTTTGTTCTCAATAAATTTATGATTTTTGACTACATAAATCCATCTACCAGTTACCCTAGTTTACCTCTACAGCTTTTGACATGTTTATTTTGTGAAAATAATAAACAAATATGACCTATAAGGAATGAAATTAAAATATATCTACACATGTGTAACACTAAAAATAATTTTTAGAAGGTCCAAAAGTCATGCAAATGGACTTGAGAACATAAAATCAAAATTTGAACATGTCGAAATTTCATTTTTCATAAAACTTCTTGATACACGTGTGCCTAACAATTATTTTTACATTTCACATAACTCATTTTTATATTTAGTATCACGAATCTATAATATATTAAAATATCACATCAAGGGAGAATCATTTTTTGGACGATTTTAACCCCTCTACAATTCAATTATTTCAATAATACCTTACTTTTTGCTTTTCTATCTGTAATAAACACTACATAATTATTGTCATTTATAAAATTTGTATTATTGATTCTCAATTAATTAACATTCACATTAGACTATATTTAACGAATTTTTATTTGATGAATCTTGAATTATATGAATCTAGATTTGTAATAGATAAATTTATTTATATTCATGTATCTAGAAATTTTAATAGGCGTTTAAATTTATATCTTAGCAATTAATTTTTATCTATCAAATGTAATATAAATATGATAGATTTCAAAATTAAACAAGTTTCAAAATTCAAAAATCAGATTTTTATTAAAAATTATTTATGATCTAATTATTTAATTAATTTAATATATTTAAGTCACAGTTTTTTGTCACAATTATGAAATTACTTAATCACAGATTAATTTTTAGTCACAACTTATCAAATTATTGGTCGTAACTTCTTTCTCGATCACAAATCAAAATTTTTATTGGTCACAAAATAATTTTCGGTCACAAATCCAAAATTTTTACAGGTCATAGATTATTCGTCGATCACATATTCAAAACTTTTATTTGTCACAATTCATTTACTCATTGCAAATTATTGAATTAATTGGTCACGATTAATTTTTCGATCACAAATTAATTAATTGCGAGTTACAGTCACAATTTTTAGGTCACATATGTAATTGTGAGTCGCAATCACAATTTTCAGGTCACATATTGCCAACTTATTGGTCACAATAAATCCAATTAATCTGTGATCATCACCAAACAATCACTGCCACCCGTCGTTGTCGTTGGCACCACTACTACTATACCAATAACACCACTCTGTAACACCAACAACACCATAGCTTTACCCACCACAACCCACCACCACTATCACAGTGAACATCACACAGATTGACGCCTCAAACACCGTTGCTGCTTTCATTTTCAGGTCGACCACCCCAAAACCACCGCAACAGTTGCGACAAACACCGCACTAATATAAATCACAACATCACAACCAGATCCCACCTCACCAGACCCTTAGAATTGACAATTTTCAGCGATGAAGACGGGGTCATTACTTACCAATGATGAAGATGGCGATCGGAGAGGGGAGTCGATTGCCGCCATGCCTGAGAGAGGTCGCCGTGCGTGAGATTGAGGGAATTGAGAAAGAGAGCGAGAGAGTCGAGTAGAGAGAGAGGGTATTGAGACTGAAATTGTTATAATTAGGGTTGTTTAATTAATTTTTAAATGTATTAATTAATTAAAAAATTTTATTTGTGAAATATTAAACATGTCATCTTATTTATGAAATGAAAATTTTTAATCTATTAGAATCTGTAATTTCCACTTTATCTTATCCAATATATATAGGCATGTTTCCAAATTTAGAATATTTTGTTTTGTTCATTTACCAATATACCATATTGCCATATTCAATTTTCCCCACTTAATATTCAAACTTCTTGAAATCATGTAAATACACACATTTCTCGCTTTTTGGAAGCATGGAACAACTCTTATTTCTTCTTCTTCAAATTAAATCATTCAAATTCTTTACTAATGTCAACAATAATTTACTACTTCATACTGAAAATTAAATAGGGGTAAACTAAAAAAGATTTTGACAAAAAATTATTTTTCAATGACATTAAAGAAGATTTCTTAATCTGTGTGAGAAATGAAACAAGACTATATAACTGAGACGAAAGGAGTATTACTTTTACATCACTTATAAAATATTTTAGAATAACGTGTAATGTAAGTTTAATTTTGACTAGTTCTATAAAAAGTTGCTTGCATAATTTTGCAGAATCACCCACCTCAAGAATCAGATCAGAGAACTAAGTTGTAACCACAAAGTCTTGAGTCTCACATCACCTGTTTGTATGTGCATAAACAAGCCAATAAAACAAATGGTGACAGCCTTAATTCATTTGGACTTTCTGTGACACTACAACCACACAGATACTATGAACCCTTCATTTTCGGGCCTAATGTTATCTCAACACATTCAAAGGCCTCTTTTGAATAACAATCTGTACTAGAGGTGTCAATCATCAGTCGGCACTGCCCGATTTGAGGTATTGACATGCCCGATTTGAGGTATTGACATGGGCCATTTTTTTAGGCCTCGGCCCAACCTAGGCCGTGGATGTACTGACCCAACTGTAGGGTAGGGCCAGGCCACTCAAATCTGGACAGTCCCACACCTCCATACTTAACTCTCAAATTTCTAGCCAACAACTAGCAGTTATCAGTTCCTATTGCAAGCGGGGGATAGAGATTTTTTGGAAGCCATTCGTCTCAATTTATAAATCGCATATTTTCAAAACGAGCTAAAGGTATGAAGGATTTTACTTGATGCTACACAATCTGATAAATCTTAACAAGAAAATACAAGTCTCATTCAGAGCATAAAGAAATCCAAACTTAGCCTTGTAACCTAGTAAAACAAATCAAAACATTTGCACACATAAATATGGTTACTTCATAAAACCTTATCTACAAATATACATACAATATGGTGAGTGTGCCACAAATTTTTTGACCCATCGTTGAATATGAAGCTTTTTAACTTTACCATTATCTTATCTTAATGTGAAGTGCAACTAAATGTCAAGAGCCTACTTGCCTTTTCATCTCTATTATCCACTTATGGGCACGTTTGATAGGGATACTCTACAAAACTGAACACGAGGAAGGAAAAATACAAGGTGAAATCTTATATTTTGTCTTGTACAATGTGTACTAGACATGTCCTCAGATAATTCTTTCTTGCGAAATTCTTCAAAAAATTGTTAGCAATAAACTAGAAATATTCGCAAGGGAAGGGGGGGAAAAAAAAAAAACCAGCATTGAAAAGAAATCTATAAATGCCCTTGTTTGAGCCCCATTTTGAGGGGGAAAATTATTTTTTGAATAGTGTATTGATGAGAAATGTTTGGTTAAAAAATAAGGAAAAATTTTGAATTTACGAGTAATATTATTTTATTGAAAAATGTGTTGTTGAAATGATGTCAAAATACTGTAGAAGAATTCATTTTTTCTAAAAAATGGGGATCAAACAAGGGCAATAATTCTTCACGAAACTATATACTAGCGGCAAGGAAGTTCATGGAAGCTTTCAGAACCAAATTCTCAAACTGCGCATGGGAAAGAAAATGAAGGGGAAAAAAACATTACTCTTAAGAAATTATGCTAGAGACCAAGAGAAAGCAAGTGCAAGGTTGCCAGAATGAGAGTTCTGCTTTCGTCATTGCAATGTACATATCGGGCTCAAAATGATGGCCACATTCCAACATGTAAAAAGCAGGCAAAATTCAGCTGACTCAGTTTCAAAACCAAATGTGAAAAACAGAAAGTACTTGCAGCATCCTTGCTTCTCAAAAATGAAAGGAGAGCAACTAACCAAAATTAGATGTAGATACTTGTAATATGTGGACAAGTTTCCTGTTTAGAATGTAAAAAAGAATAGACTAGAATTTGACAAAATTTGCAGTAACCTCTTAGAATGAACATTTCCATTACCATGCAGCACATCTGCCCGATCTCCAATATACAAAATGGGCATCATGAGGTTTGTTGGCAATTGTGAATAAGAACAATGCCAAAATGCAAAAACTTCCTCAATTTACAAGTTCTAGAATTCCCTTTGAATCAAAACTAGCTCTCAGGCACCAGACACCTATCTGATATTCTAGCGAGATTTCTTTGGGGTGCAGAAAATGGACCCTGGAGAATTAGCAGCCTTTCGTCCAAATCTATTGCCCACTGGTCCGAACTCTGATTCCTCATCGTCACTGTCAATGTTATTTGCATCTTTCCTATTTTGGTAACCTCTACGCCGGAGAAGAAAAACATTGTAATAGTAGTTCACCAACGCTTCTCTGTCTTTTCTAGGAAAAACCTTGAAAAGTTCATCCCAAAAATATTTTTCTGAATATAAACAATTCGACTTCACTATATCCTGAAATTTGTTTTCGTCTTCTTTTATCCAAGACAGTGCAACTTCCTCACCCATCCAATTAAATTTCCATTTATAAAAAGCGGATCTCAACTCAAGCTTCACCTTCCTCCTTTTTTCGGCAACATGGAACTGGACACATTCAAGAGATCCTGGGAACTGGCAGCTACATGATTCTTGTCTTCCTCTTCCTATTGGATCCCTTTCGATCAAATTTTTGTTTTGTTCTACTTTTTCCAGAGGCCAAATTCGGGTACCCAACCATTTATAATCAATTTCATAAGTCTCTCCACAAAATTCTGGTACATCTGCTTGAAAAAGTGGACCTAGAGGAATTTTCTTCTTGCGATGAAAGTTTCCAGCAAAACCAACAGAGTCTGCCTTTGAATTAGACTGTCCATCAGTACAATCCTCATCACTATGAGAACCTGAGGACAATGATTCCACACCAATTTGATCATGTGATTTGTTATGAGAATTCTTCGCAGATAGAAGCCTCTCACTGCATCTTAATGTTTCAGAACCTTTTCGATCATTGTACAAGCTTGGATGCATCTTTTGCTTTTTCTGGAAGGTACTGATGTAATTAGAATCAAAGAACGAGATACATAAAATATATTCATAATATACCATGCATCATCTCAAAAAAAATAAAAATACAAAATCTAACTTGCAAACAAACTTGAAATAGATCAATAAAGTAGCATATAGTTAGCTCTCAATTTAGTAATTAAACTATAAAATGGTCATCTATTTGAAGCAGGAACATATAATTTGTTAACAAACAAGACAAAGAACAGAAAGAAGGCGTGCAAAGAAAAGAAGAATTCAAGGCAAAGGAAATCAATTTTTATTCATATATTTGGGGTTTTGAATTACAATGATTAAGCCCTTTATTTATACAACAAATAATATAAAAGAAGCTAAAAATAAACAAACTTCTACTAATCTAGAATTTTATCAAAATAAACAACCTGATCTAATCTAAGTAAAATCTTAAAATTCAAATTAAACTCTGCATAATTCTATCTAACTTCTATCTTTCTACAATTTTATTAATACTAATAAGATCCTCTAGATAATCATCAACTACAGTTAAACCTCTATAAAATAATAGCCTTGAGACCAAGGAAAATCTATTAATTTAGCGAATAATAAAATAAAAATAAAAATAAAATTTAACTGTCGTTAAATATTTAAGATTTACTATACTAATAATATCATAGTTGTAATAAAGAAATCAAAAATTTGTATTGCTATATTAATGGTTATGTTCTAGAATATTCCAATATTTATTTGAATTTGAATATTTTATCCTTTTCTATATTCTACAGACACTATATTGTGGTGTATTGAATACCTATGAATAGAAAGTTTCTATAATAGTTGATTAATTACGGTGTGTTCGAGACCCTTTAATTTTGAAAAAATGTATTAAATAAAGATTGATTGAGAATGTGTTGTTAAGAAAAAGATAAAAAAAATTGATTTACGTGTAATATTATTTTAATGAAGAATGTGAAGTTGAAAATGAGTAAGGTAGAAAAATAATATGGTGTAAAATAACGGTTCACAAACAAGGGCTTAGTAATTTATTAATTTATCAAGGTATTCCGTATTCTGAGCTATTGATTGATGAATATATAATTGACAACATCATGGGAAAAGATCAAGATGGTGAAGTTGAAGATAATGGTTCGACTATGGAGCCCGTTTTGTCAAAAGGAACTTTCAAAGAGGTAATGACATTGAATACTCTCTTTTTTTTTTTGGTAGTATGAGAAAACCACACTAGAACTATTTACCATGGCAAGAAAAGACAGAGATGAGATCCAACGTGATATCAATTTTAAAAAGAAACAAACAGTGATAGGAATGTCTCAATCAAATAATATTATGAAAGATTTATATAAATTTTTCATATTGTATTGTCTTAAAAGTTTAGCAAATTATTAATTTAGCACGTTATCCCTAAGTCAGGACCAACCAAAAATATTATTCAATCAAGGTTATTAATTTATCGATGTCCTACTATATTTGATTAGCCTATTTGTCATCTTTCTCACTCACTTTCTTCTCATCATTTGTGTAAAGGCACAAAAATAAAATAAAAGAACATAATTTGTTCTAAGCCATGCAAATTATCCCAAGAACTTGAATCCAGTAATAAAATGGCTAGAAGCAACATTTCAGGGAAATGACAAAGATATACCTTGACCAAAATCTACAATACTCTTGCAACACAGATTGCACAAGCATTTCAATATCAAAACAACCCAAGATATGCGTTATAATGACCAGTGAAAAATTCAGATAAACCAAAAGAAAAAAACATATTTCTGCATCAAACAAGAAGCAATAGTAGCTCAATATTTAAATGAATAGCATAAACATTTTAATGACTCTCAAAGTTAGAAATAATAAAAATAATGTAATTGTATGCAGCTCGATAAAATATATGTATAAATGAGGACATTAAAACTACAAACTAAAGTTATGAATGTCAAGGAAAGCTATTGAAGAGCATTGAAGATAACACTATTTTATTTATAAAAAATAAATATTTGAGGTTTGTTGCCTTGAGGCCCACCTCACTTGACACTTTCATTAAACGCATTGAAACTTACACCATAAGAGCCATTTTCAAGGCTTACGCCTTAGTGTGGCTAAGGTGTGTACTCATCTGTTTTGCCTTCCGGGGGATTTTTATTGATATTAGTATTTTGGGCTATGTTTTTAAGCCCATAATGTTTTGCATGTTTTCTTGCTTTCTTTTTTTTAGCTTTATACGGAAGGAGAAAGAGAACGCACTATACAAATGGAGGATGACGAAAAAGAATAAAAAGAAATCTTCAATTATGACGAGAACGATAGGAGAATCAAAATTTTGTTGATTCTCTTAAAGATCTTGTTGGTAGTGACAATAAGATTGATTTATAGGTTGTTTCTACTTCTAACTTGTTATGTGATTACTAATTTGAACACTTAGTATTTGTTGTTTTATTAATTTATTTTTTGTTTGTTCCTAAGTTAGACCTTTAATTTTGATAGTTTATTTTTTTATGGATTTTCAATATGGTTTTTGGTTTATTGCAAGTATATTTTAGTATATTATATTCCTTTAAATTATTTTTATTTGTTTATCTTGAGGCTTATACTTCAAAATGTTGTGAGGCTTGGGCATCACCCAACACAAATTTAAAAAAAAAAAAAAAAAAAAAAAAAAAAAGAAAAAAAAAAAAGGAGGCCCCACTTTCTTTTTTTTAGCTTTATACGGAAGGAGAAAGAGAACGCACTATACAAATGGAGGATGACGAAAAAGAATAAAAAGAAATCTTCAATTATGACGAGAACGATAGGAGAATCAAAATTTTGTTGATTCTCTTAAAGATCTTGTTGGTAGTGACAATAAGATTGATTTATAGGTTGTTTCTACTTCTAACTTGTTATGTGATTACTAATTTGAACACTTAGTATTTGTTGTTTTATTAATTTATTTTTTGTTTGTTCCTAAGTTAGACCTTTAATTTTGATAGTTTATTTTTTTATGGATTTTCAATATGGTTTTTGGTTTATTGCAAGTATATTTTAGTATATTATATTCCTTTAAATTATTTTTATTTGTTTATCTTGAGGCTTATACTTCAAAATGTTGTGAGGCTTGGGCATCACCCAACACAAATTTAAAAAAAAAAAAAAAAAAAAAAAAGAAAAGGACAAAAACTAATGGATGCCCAATTGAGCTTTATTAAACATTGGATAACTCAATCAAAAAAAGAAAACTATTATGTCATTGGTGCAACTATGACACTCAATACTTAATGCATGTTTAGGAAGTGATTACTTCTTTCTTTGCATCGCATTGCTTTGGAGCCTTCCGCTATGGTGAATGATGTACTAGCCATACATAATAGAAGTTACAGTTGGAATAAAGCATTTGAGAGGGGTTTACAGGATTGGAAATTGGATGATTATGCACTATTTTTGACCTCCTTGCACAAGACACACATTTAGGTAGGAGAGGGTGATCGTAGCAAGTGAAAGTTGGCACGGGATGATATTTTTTTAGATCGCACTTATTTTAGATCCATATTGGGACTGGTAAAGAGTTCATTTCCCAGGAAAATGGTGTGATAATGTAAATTGCCTCCACGGGTGGCTTTCTTATTATGGACGGTTGTGAGGGAGCAGACGTTAACGGTGGATAATCTCCGAAGAAAAGGTTTTTATGTTACCCAGTGGTGTCATATGTGTAAGAGAGATGGAGAAACGATTGGCCATTTGATTATTCATTGTGATGGTGTTCGATGGTTGTGGAATGGTATTCTAGCTTCCCAACATTTGGCTTGGGTTTGCCTAGGTGCATAAAAGACGTGTTGCGGGCATGGAGGAGAAAACTTCGAGATAATGATAGTAGGCTTGTATGGAATTTTATTCTAGGATGCATTGTATGGTGTGTATAGAGAGAAAGAAAGAGTCGCTATTTTGAATACCGAACAAGAACAATAGAGCATTTTAAAGAATTGTTTTATACGACTTTGTATGCTTAGTTTAATGCTACAGCCACCAATCATATAGAAGGGCTGCCTAACTTCATGTCATTTCTTTATTGTTTAAACTGATAATACACTTCCCATGTATTATTCTTTGATTAATAAAATTATTTGATTACTTATAAAAAAAAAATGTTATTCATGGGAACTACCCACTTATTCACCTCTAATTTCTATCTATATATAAATTCAAATAGATTATACTCTACTTCCAAAGAAGCACTTGATGTACAGTATTGTGAAAGGTCAACCAATGATGATATATCATAAGTGCAATGTACATTGTAATGAAGCATGGCAAGAGATTGCAGTAAGTAAAGCAATACTCTTTGCTAAATAAATAAAGCAATAAAAAGTTATCAAATCTGCCTTGGGACAATTATTAAAAACATTATTCCATTTAATACTTGTATATGGACATAAATAAAGAGTATGTTGTAGACCTGCGAATTTGTTTGTAGAAAGCTAGAATCGGCATTTCTTCTTATAAGCATTGTATCGCGAACCAAGAGAACCTGCTTCCAAAGCTGATCGCATCCATAGGACTTCCACTTATCCACTTCAGGCAAGGACCCAATTGTACGGTTACAAGGATCCTTTGAAACCTTAGTGATCCAATCGAGCATGCTTGAGTAGTATTCCCATTTCCTTTTCCTACTAGCAGGATCTTCATCAACCACACTCATTTTCATTTCCATATCATTATTCCCAACCTCAACATCATTCCTCTGTTCACCAAAATTCTCAGTACCTTGACTATTTTGCTCTTCATTTACATATTCATCATCACTAGTTGATAACATGAACACCCAACCGTCAGCACTATTAAACAATCCTCTATTAGCCATTGAGTCCAACGCATTCTTTCTAAGGTCCAGGTTCACAAACTTCCCATCTGTTATATTTTTATCTTTGACTGATTCACTGGAAAAAAAGTAAAAAAACCGTTGATACCAATCTTTGCTTCCTTTATATCCTCAAGCCTGTAAAATTTACACGAACCATTCAACCTAATGTATTTGAGTACTTAAAAAAAAACAATTTAAAAGCAAAGCCAACTCTTAAATCAAACCCACATTATGTGCAGCCATTAAACTCCACGAATACACCATTTTAACCATTCCTTTTTCTCAGATAGTATATATGGCTCCAACAAATCGATTTCTTGCCCATCACCAATTTTGAACGGTAATGGCGTAAACCAAGAAATCCGAGTAACAATTTTAGAGAGAACCTTATTTGAAAATAAGAAAAAAAAAGTGGGCCTCATATTACTATTATTTACACAGTTTTCTGCAATACTCGAAACCCTTTGGAATAGGGTTCAAAATAGGTTCAATTTTCTGAACTTTCTGATGATAATTAAAGCCTTCTAAACCAAACCCATCAACTAATTATTTTATATATTCAGAGTCTAAATGAAATAATCCCTTTCAAATATACACATACAAAGTAAATCAAGACACTAATATATCCAAACATAGTGAACATGCATATTATCGTATACAGTGTGAAGCAAAAAAGGAGAAACGAAAGTTTCGTGACCTTTGAGAAACACTTGAAGGCGAATGAAACGTTGATTTTCAGGTGAGGTTTTAGCGGGAAGAAGTTGATGTTGAATAATTGATATGGGGTCTTGATTCTTCAAATAAATTCTTTAGACCCCATAACAAAAAATTTCAAATCTCACTAAAAGCACGTTTTTCTAGATTTGTAGAAGTTATTTTGTGATATAATAAGTGATAAAATTAGAAAAAATTAAGAATAATGCTCATCATCCCTGGATTAAATTCCGGGTTTGGAGACAGGGGTCGAGGTGGTGTGACTCGGCCGCTGATTTGAAATCGCGGGTCCCATGTGCTGCAAGATCGAGGGTTGAGGTCACGTCACTTCGGCTCTGGATCTGATAAATCCCGGGTTCTACAGCACGTTTGAAAAATTAATTTACATGTAAAATTATTTTATTTAACGAGAAAGTTTCGGCTATCGGGTGGTAATTTGGTTGACCCCAAGAGAGGAAGAGAGCAAATGCGTCTATTTCCCATATTTGTACAGAAACAGGTCACTCTATTTAAAAAATAAATGAAAGCTTGGAACTTTTTGCAAGGAAAAGAGAGACACATACCCGGGATTGAATTTTCAATGTTTTGAGGGACTATTAGGGGTTGACTCTTCCATTTTCTTGATTCTTGTATCTTTACTGCCTAATTTTTGGGCTTTTGTTTCGAAAGCACAAATTTCATTTTTATTCACTGGGTAGAATTCATTATGTTGGGGGTGGGGTAGGGTGGAGGTGAGGGAAAGAGATCTCAAAATTCAAAAATAAAGGTATGGAGGGTTGAGCGTGCTTCAAGGGGTGTAGGGAAGACGGGGTTTAGGGTTTGTGTAAGTTAGAATCATTGGTAAACTATAGTTTGTTGACTCGTGTGTTGGGTTAGGGGTAGTTTTGGAAAGAAATTTGGAATACATCATGTTTGGCTGTAAAATTACTTTTAAGTTACTTATTTTGTCTAGTGTCATTTTGAAAATTACTTTTGTAAGGATGAAAGAAACTTGTTTAGATTCAAGCGGAAAACTACATCTTGTCGAGAGACTCCGAAATGAGTCCACTTAAGAGCCTCTTGGTAGTAGCTTGCAATGCGATCAATCTCATCTCACTCATCGTTGAGAAATAGAAAAAAGGTCATTCTCGAAGATGAAGACAAGGGGAAGATATGAATGGAGTGCAACTAATAGTTAGGAGGGCGTTAAGCATAGACTGACTTCCCAAGGAGCAATAGAAATAATGAATTGTTCACTCTTTTCGAAATTGATATAGAAATGGATGATTCTTCTAAATTGTTTACCTTAGTTATCGAGGCTCTCAAGGAAGACTTAAGTGGGTGCGAAATGCTTGTTGTACTTTTATATTTCTCCTATTCTTGATCTCACTCACATCTATTTCAAATCATGTTTATACTAAGAGCAATTCCAATGCAAACACCAAAAAATGGTGGAAAGTCTCTCCAACCTAAAACCATACTTTGCATCATTTCGGTGCAAAATAGTTAAATACAATTTTACCCTTCTCTTTCACTTTACAGAAAAATTGGTTAAGGATATTTGTGTCCATTTTTGTTATACATTTTTAATTCAATAAATTATTATTAGGGTGAATTTGATGCACCATATTCTAATTGTAGTTAATTTTCTTAATCTTTATTCATTGTAACAATTATTTCCTTAACTGTTTTCTGTTGAATTCTTATAGTCAACCTTCCATTAATTAGTATGTCTCATTCTTGATAATGATTTATATCAAAATATCTTATTTTCATGTTTTGAAATGAGGAAAAAAAAATATGTTTTTGTACTTTTTATTAATTTATTTCATAAAAATATGACAAAAAAAGTTGTTTTACGTTATTTCAACGAATTTTTAGATATAAAACTATTACCAAATACAAAAATGTGTTAGTTAATGAAAATTTTGATGATAAAAATGACATTAAAAAATCGTTAGGAACATAAATGTTATAATGAATAAAGATTAAGAATTTTAATTGCAATTAAAATGTGGTACAAGAAATAAAAATTGTGGTGGTATTATTATTATTTTGTGAACTTGTGATAAATTTTAATAATGTAATCAACAATACTTAAGGAATCAATTTGATATGATTTAATATTTTTTATTTGTGGTATTTCTATTAATTGTATTATATGTGTTAAATTTATTAATAAATTTAATATTTTCGTTAATTTAATATAATTATTAGTAATTTATGTAGTTGTAAAATAAATGTATAAATAAATAACTTTTTAAATAAATAAAGTATTAAGAATAAAAAAATAAAAAAATGATTAAATACTGTTCATTTGATGTGATGAGTTGGAAATGATTTTCAGTTAAATGAAAAATAGTATAAAATTTATTTTAATTTTTGGTGCATAATTGGAGATGACCTAACAAAACTTATTAACGATAAAAAAAATATATTTTAAGACGAGCCAAACATCTTGTAGGTTGTATAAGCTTTGTAAAATGTTTTTGTCCTGGCAAAATAGTCCCTAGAGTTACAATTTTTGTTCAAATCCATCCCTCAGTTTCTTGAAGATGCAAAACGATCTCCGAATTTCCCTTTTTGTCCAAGCCAGTCCTAGTTTTCAGATCGCTTCACTAGTCCCCAAAATTTATGTGTGTTTAAAATTGCTCTTGGGCTATAATTTCAAGATAAAATCACATTTTCCATCTCAACTACATGATCCAAGGAGTGATGGGCTGGGTATAAGTTGGGTTCTATTGATGGAAAAATTCATATCTCATGCAGGTCAATTCAATTTTAAGAGAACAAGTTTAAAATTTCAAAACTCAAGTAATAAATAAATAATAATTATTATTTTATTAATTAAATGTAATAAGGTCACGATTATATAATTTATGGTCATAGTTATGTATTTATAGGTTTCAAATTATTTATTGATCACATACTATCAAAATTGGCCAAAATTTATTTATCGGTCACAAATCAAAAAATTTATAAGTTGCAATTTATTTATCAAGTCACAAAATCACAAGCTTTGTATGCACAACAAACACAAGTTATCATATAGTTAGTTACAAACACTTTCGTCCCATTCTCACCCTTGACACAATTGCTATCGCGCCAGCACCATCGTTGCCACTACCACTGCCACCACCACCACCACTACCACTCCCACCAAACATAGCTTAACGACGCCACTACCACCAACACAGACACAGCCCAAAACTGAAGGATCACCACCATGATTGAAGGTAAAGCCACCAACTAATGTTGTGCTGGTTCCATCTCCATCGCCAAATCCAACAGCAAAACCACAAACACCACCGATCTACTCACCCCCACCACCACCTGTCCAATTACCTCCACCCAAGCTAGGATCACCACCACGATCGAATCTAACACCACCAATTAAAGTAGTGTCGATTCCATCTCCGTTGCCAAATTCAACACCAAAACTACAAATACCACTGATCTACTCACCCTCGCCACCAGTTTCTCCCCAAAGCCACCTGTCCAATCATCTCTACCGCCCAAACAAACGCCGTTGTTGCTGCAAAAGCAGAGTCACCATTGCCATTCAACAAAGTTCACAACAGTTGCGCGCTGCCGCGAAGTTGATAGCTGCAAACGCCGATGACGATTGACCGCTGGTGCGACGCAAGCGAGAAGTCATCGGGAAGATCGCCGCAAGAGTGAGAATGTAGAGAGAAGTGAGGGGCTTGGGATTAAAGTGGAGATGAATTGGGGGTGGGGTGATTTTTGAATAATGAAACATTCTCCCTGATTTTAGAATATTGATCTTTAAAAATAGGGTGGATGTAATTTCCACTAATTTCAATCATTTCAACAGAACTTTGAGGGAAAAAAGGCTGCAAAACAACAATGAACTTCTACATGTTGCAAACTAGTAATACAGCAATAAAGAGCCAATTTGCCTCTTCTAATTTGTGCACTTTGACATGATGAAGCTAAGAAAGAAAAGCTACATAGATGATTGAGAATTCTTGAGATCTATGGTGGTTAGGACATTATCATTAAAACTTCCTGGAGCATCGCTTTGTGATACCCTGTCCCCAACCCCACGGAACGAATCACCAGAAACTAATGCTTGAAGCAGCTTTGGAGGTGGTGGAACAGCCACCTCGACTACGCCCTCCAACATTTTCACGACCATTCCCATTGTAGGCCTCATTAATTCATCATCTTGAATGCACCATACAGCCACCAGACCTAAGCGCTCTGCCTCGGGCTTGTCATATGTGCTACCAAGCCGCTCATCGATCACAGCAGTCACGTTACCGTCTATTAACTGGCGGGCTGCCCAGGGTGGAAAGAACCACTTCTCAATACCACCCTCTCCACCTCCACTGGCTGAAGGTGGCCCCTCCACATTACGGCGGCCGCCTAACAACTCCAATAATGTCATGCCGTAGCTATACACATCAGCTTTAGTGGTAATCGCCACACCAGAGATCCATTCGGGTGCAACATATCCCCACGTACCCCTCATGGTAGCTAGAACCCGGCTGAAGTCTCTCCCAATGAGCTTTGCTAGGCCAAAATCCGATACCTTGGGTGAGAAATCTTTGTCTAATAAAATGTTCTCGGGCTTTATATCACAATGTATGATGCAATTTCGACACTCCTCGTGTAAATAAGCGATGCCTCTTGCTGTCCCTATAGCAACCCGAAATCTGACATCCCAACTTAGATTCTGACCATCCCGTCTTAGGTAAACACTAAGAGGTCCATTCGGCATATAATCGTAAACCAATAGCCTATGAGAATCTTCAGAACAAAACCCTCTCAATCTAACCAGATTGACATGCTGAATATTTCCAATAGTACAAACCTCTGCTCGAAATTCCTTCTCACCACCACCAGGTCTTTCGAGTCTCTTAACAGCCACCAGTGAAGAATCTGATAATTCCCCGCGAAATACTGCCCCAAATCCTCCATGCCCGAGCTTCTCTGAAAATCCCCTTGTAATAGCATGGAGTTCCTTGTAAGAAAACACCCTCAAATTTGTTACTGGGAAAACACCATCCTCGTCCCCCTTTCTTCTCTTAATCATTCTCCTCCTCAAGTACAACAGACTTATAGTTCCGAGACTCAGAATCACAAGAATCCCACAAATCATCCCAATGAAAATGGTCATCTTCTTCTTGTTCTTTTTGCCTGCACTATTCCTGGGCACCTTCACATATAACTTTTCGTCAATAGTGCTATCTGAAGTAAGATTCCATATGTTAAAAAGAGACCCATAGAGATTCTTGCATAAATTACTCCTCACATTGTGTAACAAACCAATGCACGAACAATTACTCAAACACTCGCTTTCACACTTACTCCTACTCGCACTAAATGACACGACTCTTGCTCCATCGTAATTCACCACTCCGACTTCCTCAAATCCCTCGTTCTTGCCACAGAACACATCACTTTCCCGGTGACAACCCTCGGAAAAATCATTCTCATTCCACGAAACACCATTAACAGGAATAAATCCGTTCAAACACCTACAAGGACTCCACTGCCTCGCACTACAAAACCCCAAATTACCACACAATCCATAAACTCTACACAGATTCTCAGGCTGTGACCAAAACATGTTCCAATACTCAATCTGCGAAGACCAAGTGAACTGCTTCAGCTGACCCGTGTGGTCCAAAAAGAACCTCGTTAAGGGTGGTTTCACACCATCTGTTGACAACTCTGTGTACCCAAAAATTGCCGTGGGAGTAAAAGGATTAACAAACTCAAACTTATATATATAACGAATTGTCATTTCGGGCACCCCATCAAATGCATTTCCATTCCATTTCCCAGTAGTCCAATAAGTATATGAATTGGAATTACTACCATTAACACTACCATTGCTATAAACAAGAGTAATCTCACCATAATTAGCTTGATTCAACCTCAAGGAATACCTTCCCGGTGCTGGATCACTTGAACTCTTCCAAGAAGTCAGCCAGTGTTGAGTTGTTAAGTTCATCCCAGGCAGCCACGTGTCAGTAGGAAAATCAAAGCTTTGCCAAACAATCCTCCCTTCGTCATTTAACAACACTAAATTTCCCTGCTCCAAAAGCTTCAAATCACTTGCTTTTTCCACATTGCTTGTTTCCCACAAAATGGTTCTTGAATCTTGATCTGTTACAACTAATTTTCCATTTTCACTGATTTCTGCTGTAGCTGATGACAACTTCTTGATGGGATTTTCCCTGTTCGCAACCCAAACATATGAGGGAGTTGAGATTGAAGCATACCAAATGCCCAAGTACCATCTGATACTATGACCTGGGGTGAAAAATCCCAGCTGAAAAGTTCTGTTTTCACTAAAAATTGTTGTGTTTCCACTGAGAATCAGCTGAGATCTTTGTAAAGATTCCAACCTTATGCTCTTTCTTGTGGATTCTTCAAACCCTTTAATTTTCTTGGAAAAATGGGCTGAATTTGGGTTCAAAATGGGTTCTTTTAGTGTTTTTGAAACAGATAAAATGAGGAAATTCAATAAATAAATGGAAATAAGAAGAAATGGGAGATTTCTTGGAGGCATTTTGATGAACAAAATGGCATTTCATTTGTGGTAGAACATTGAAGTCCTTTTATTCTTCTATGAGTAGGTGCAGAAAAATAGTGGGAGATTTTAGAGATGAAGAAATAGGGATTTTTATTGTTTATTTTTCTGTACTTTTTGGAAATATAAAATATCTTTAAAAACAAAAGAGGGAAAGAGAGAGAATAGCTGCCACTCGCGATCAGCAGCAAGAAAAAGTCAAGCGACATGAAGTTACAGAAACACCCTTGAGATTTGTAAAATTATAGCCCCGTTTTATTCCTTTTTTTTTTTTTTAAATACATTTTTTATCTCTTTTCTTTTCAATTACGCATTCTTCATTCTAATAAATTACATGTAAATCAAAAAATTTTTATCCACAAATTCTCCATCAATCTACTATTCTAAAATTCATTTTTCCTTAAAAATAGATGCCAAACACCCTCTATATGATAAAAATAGATTGGATTAATAGCAGAAAATCCTAAAAAACATTTTCATGGGTGGTATATCTTCTATATTTTTTCTACTAAAACTCTAAAAATTAAAAGAAAAAGAAAAAGAAATGTTTGATGTAAACTTCAAATTTAGATTATAGTTTTGTTTTCATTTTGGTGTAATTGTTTGTTAGTAACTATCGAATTTTTATATATGATGATTTTGGAAAAATTGATTCTTTACCATTTGCATTATATATATTATTGATATACATTACGCAAGAAAAAAATTTATATAGGTAGATAATTTTTTTACTCATAAATTCTAAATCGATTAATCAAACCAAACCGATCTAAATCGATTTGTTTTGGTTTAGTTTGGTTCGGTTTAGTTTCAACAATTATATTGTGTCGATTTTGGTTGGGATTTATCCGAACCGATCAAGTCGATTTTGGTTTCGGGTTGTACTCAAAATTAACCTAACTCGAACCATGCCCAGGCCTAGCAATGATTCATGATGTCTAGTAACTGGAGGGTGGCGATGAAGATGGTGACGGTGGGCAGTTTTGGTTGGGGTGGGGGGATTTGGGGTAGGTTTGGAATGATGAAATGGAGGTGGAAAATAAAGTTTTAAAAATTTGGGATTGTGATTGTCATATATGAAAATTTTGAGTATAATTTATAAAAAAAAAAAAAAAAAAAATTTGGGTACTGCAAATATAATTATTTCTTTTTAATTTCAATATTTTGTTACTATTTTTAACTGTTAATCGAAAAAATCTTGAAAGTAGGGTGTTTTTCGAACAAAAGATTTCAAACAAGAGGATTTTCTGAGATTTTCAATAGGTAAGAGTATATCGCACATGGAAACGTTTATGGGAGTTTATGCTATTAATCCATAATAGATTGTATGTTTATTTGCTTTTGGAGGGTATATTGGTAAATGTAAGGGTTTGAGAAGAAAAATTATGGAATAAAAAGGTCTTGAAGAGCTGAAGTCCACTCATGAGGTCTAGAGTTATCTGTTATAACTTAAATTTAATAATAAAAATTTGGTAAATTCTCACTAGTTATTTGGTCTCCAGACTCCAATATTTCAATATAGTTACACAACATGGGTTGGACCCTAGTCATGTTTTAGGAGGCAAGGCGAGGAGTAGGAGGAGTCGAGACATTTTGTCTTTTGAGTATATCATCAATCATTAACAAAAAATCTTCTACATGTAGAATAAATTATCATGTGCATTTCATGAAAGCATGTCTCATTTCTATGAAATTTGAATAAAACTGGTAAAGCAAACCATAGCTTTGTAGAATTATTCGACAAGTCAACATAGATTCAGAAACTTGGGATCAGCTGTAGATATTTTAAAGTTTGGAGATTAATTTGTTACTAGAGCAATAGGTTAAGAACCAATGATGAAATTTTTCCTTAAAAGTATAAAAACACCAATTCGTTTGTATAAATAACAGTAATATAAACTTAATTTTTTTAAATGGTGTCAATAAAATTAATAAGAAATTAACGGATTCGTAGTTGATCTTTAATTGATAAAAAAACAATGTTTTTAATTGTTGTCGTTTCTAAATATTAGAGGTTATTATACAATTAAATAATGTTATCTAACAACAATAGTGTTGAGCACAAAGTGTCGACATATTATAAGTTCTACTAGTTAGATCACAAATTATTATACTTAATAAAGCTATTTTTAAATATTTTTAGATAATTTTTTAAAAATATTTTACTGGTTAGAAGAGCTTTTAAAATAAGTCCGTCTAAAATAGCTTTTTCATAGAAGTCTTTTGCAGAAATAAAAAGGACTGTCAGATGACCCTTTCCATTTTTCAACCAATAGCAATAAATTAACACTTGATTATTATTGACCCACAAAAAAGTACCAAATAAAGGGAAAAAACAAAAAAATATATTATTTCTCTCATTTTCTTCTTAAAATTTCCTCAACTTCCAACCAATAGGATCCTGACACATCCCAGTTTTATTTGACAAATTAGTGGGACCGTTTTGGGTAAATTAGCCCTAGCAGTTGGTGAGATTTTGACTAAGAGCAAGTGTGTTACATATGAAATAATTTTTAATTTTTCTTCTAGATGGCAAGTATCCTAGTAAGATTTTAATTGTCTAGAGTAATTATGATGTGTCACCATTCAACAATAATGATAAATTTAGTAAATTTGTCAAGATTCAAAATGATGATGATTTTAACTTTAAGGTATTTTTTTTGTCTTCTTGGGAAATATAATCTTGAATATGATATGATTTCAATGCTCTATTGATTAACATGTAGCTGTAAAGATGGCAATGGATCCGTAGGATTTATAATTAGCGAATTTGGTTGAGTCAGCTTTTATGCCCGTCGAGCCAACAGGCAATCCAAACTCATTGTCATTGGTAACTTTAAATCAATGTAGAGATGTGAAAATTGACGAATCATCCAATGGCCTGGGTACTTGGCAAGGCACGACTCGTCTCGTTGAGCCAATAGGCAATTCAGAGTCGTCGTCACCCCTAAGTTTAAAATGTCAAAATAGACGAATCATCCATTGCCACATGGTCTGGACACTTGGCAAGGCACGGCCAGCCTTGGAAGGCGAGCCGTCCACGGGGCTTTTTGACCACCTCTTATATATACTCTTGACACTCGAAAACAATCCTTTTATGTACCATCCTTCGCAACCACAAAGATGATATCATGGGTTCAAACACCACAAATTTAGACAGGATCTAATGAACCATACAAGGTGCCAGAAATTAAAGGGAAAAACAAAAAACCAGTGACCAAATATTTTTTTCTATTATTAGATTAATGATAGATAAATTACACCGAGGAGAAAACATTGTACGACCCTGATTCGGCAACAGGTCGAGGGGCGGCCAAAACAACTGTGAGCTCCTTTCTCGATGGAATCGAGTCGGTCTGTTATGGCGGAGCAGCTATACATTCTATTTTTCATTGACTACACCTTGAATCTAAGTTGAGGGAGAAAAAATCTGTGTCCTATCTTTCACCACTTTGTTCACCTTCTCGGTATGAATTTTGTCGAGTTAGCTCATAATTCCCGTCCGGAGATCTTTCAGCCTCACAGCTAGCAGGTTTCGCTTTCCCACAGATGAAAAGGAAGGAGGACGTATATATTGATACGTGCCACAGACTGCATATCATTTTGCAAAACATGAGGGGGAGAACCCGAGAGTATTAATGAATGAAATAATAAACAAAAACATGCAGATTTATAGTGGTTCATCTTCAACGTGATAGCTATATTTCCACTTATCTATGCAAACTTTTTACAGTAAAGGAGATCACAATGTTGTTTTCCTCGCCCTCTTTCTTGTTCTCTCACTCCAAATTTTTTGAAAAAATGGTCCCCACTAAATTACTTCGCATAGAAAACTCAGGCCATCAGATTTCTTCGAGTAGGAAACTAAGGACTAGGGTGACCTAAAATAAAAGTATGAATCTCGAATGTTTCCCTATAATAAAAAAATGGCCAAAAGTATAATAGATGATCCAATGTCGAGGGGATAAATGAACAATATAATTAGGTTCTACACAGTCTAACGAGAGAGACTTCTCCATCTATTTTTATCATACCTGTGCCAGATCCAGTAGCTTTCGGTGCTCTCAAGCTTCCAGCTTATTGCAGCCATTGCTAATGCCATGAACCCGGCAAGTATAAATCCCCAACGAAAACGCTTTACGAGGGTCTTAATAAGACGGTGGGTCCATCTTTTAAGAGTTTCCCATCTGCATTTACCAGAACAACAGGCGTTTATATCTGACTCGGGATTTTGTTCAATAGTCACTTGCATATTTAGTAACAGTGAGAATGAATTGCTTTTACAAACCAAAGAATTATCCTACCTGTCAAGAAGATTTAAATGAAACTCCGTTGAAATGGAAAATGACCGATAACGAGCACATAACTCAATGAGCAACCCAATGAGGAGACCTAGAGCGCCAATGGCCATTACAATAACAATGTTGGAGGGCCTGTAAAATCTAGCGTGGTTAAATCTGACCACAATAGTAATTCGAGTACAAGATCATATAATAAACTATTACCGGGTAGGTCCAGTTTCAGCCATAAGGGCTGTTAGGATTGCAACGACCGTGTGAATCGTCCTCTTCGAAGCTTCACTAATAGTAGCTAAGTAGACGAAAGTACTGACAACGGCCATGAAAGAAAGCCAGAAGTCCAAGAACTGAGAGCATAATTATAATGGATTAGTCATAGACAAGGACACGAAACTTGCCAAACCAAATCAAATATATAGAAGTGATACCTGTAATACATGAAAAGACAGTGCACACCAGGTGCCTACATCACATGCGTGATACAATCCGCTAGAAATTCCACTACATGTGAAAATAACCCACTCTGCAAATGCCTAGAGTGAATGACTAAGTTTAGTTTTTTGTAAATTAATACTACTTGATACGCAAACTAAAATCCACAACCCAGCCAGCAAATAAGGCATAGCATAAATTAGAGCACGTTTGGTCAAGATAAAAATTAAGCCCCTATTTGACTCCCTTTAAAACAAAATAATTTATTTCTTGCACTCATTTTTAACCACACATTCACACAACACAATATTTTGCATGTAAACCCAAAATTTTTTCCCTTTTTAACCACACATTCTCCCAAAAATCATTATTC